AAGGACTTGTGTCGCTAAAGTTTCGTCGGAACGAAGTTACGGAAAGTTAATTAACAAACGGAGACGTAACAGAATGTTGTTTTATTAAATAAACAAATGTGAAAAAATAGTAACAGAATTACCATTAGCATTCAATGGACCAGCCTTTTTGATATTCAAGGCAAAAACATGGCGAAATATCGTAATTACAAGATCCGAAATATTGGCTCGTGGGGTTATGGTAATTTTCCCACAATATATATTGTTGTAAACTATATTTTAAATGTTTTAATTAAGATGATAGATAAAAAATACATGACGTTAAAGTAATCCTATATACCTAGAATGTTCTAGATGACATCATAAACATCTAGTAACTTCGCAGGGATGTAGGAGGCAAATTAATAGTGGGGTGGGGGGTCTAATGTTTATTTGACCGAGCGAAGCGTGTGCGCCATAGGTCTCTGTCATTGCGCCCGGGATCCATGGCTCACCTTAGAGACTTGGAAACTCTTAGGTTCTGGATTAAATTTTGTGCATTCTCCTGTTTTGCCTGATAATAATTTTCCTTGTACTGGTGTATTTTTACTGGGAAAGATTGAAAAGTGTTCCCGGTCCCCTTCTTTCTACGTCACTGCTTCAACAAATATTTAGAAGTAAGACGTCTATTATAAATACAAGTTGATAGAGTGAATAGTAAAAATCTCAAAGTGTAGTATTCAGCATGTAAAAAGCAAAAGGAGTAGAAAATGAGAATAATTTGACAGGAAATTAAAAGAAAAGAGACAGGAATTTAACAATAAAGTTATAAGACTTAAGCGTGCTATTCAAATAATAATTAAAATCACAAATAAATATAATTGAATATATATAGAGAGAAAGATTACAACATTAATAATGAGCTACTCCCAGAGGATCATCATCCCATATATATACTATAGGTCTCAGAAGAAAAACCACAAAAAAGACTCGGTGAATGAAATGCTTAGTGTAGTGTTTTATTTCTGTATTAAGATTGTTCAAGGGACTTTACATCTAGGAAAGGACAGTGTTATAAGCTATATTTTCAATTTTGTAATTTAGGTGTTAGCAAGAGGGAGCTTCACGTTAAGATCAAGTTCGTCCAAGAATATTCAGAAATATAACTGAACGAGAGTTTTTGCGAAATTTCTTGAACAATTATCAGATATAAATGCGGGTTAGCCAATTAATAAGCTAAGAAGTTTGCAGGGTAATCAAAAGCATAACTGAATTTAATCAGTCAGAGAGTGTTTTTATTAGTGTTTTGTTTTCTGGTACTTGATCAATCAACTGTGAAGTTGTAAGGGGCCGTTTTGATCGTTCATAACGCGCTGTGCGAGATATAAATTCTACGCTCCTCCTCAAAATATCTAATCTATCATTGCTTTCAAAGATGTAAACTCGTGCCCCCTATCGTTCGGCACTCTGTGCGGGCGTACTACACTTGGTACAACCCTAAAGTTGTATAAATAAGTTTATTTTTCACATTACCCAAGCATCCTTTCTAAAGTTACTTAGGCCTACAACAATCAACATTACGAGAGAGCGTGTGGTTTTACAGCAATTACTGTCGTTTATATTAGCAGCAAACATTATTTATTTTACAAATCTTCATAATATTACTGACAGATATTTGTAACAAAAGACAATATAACATTAATAACCCATTTCTGTTTGTGGACTTATTTGCCGAAATTATGAAAATCTCAGAACAAATAAAATGTGAAGAGTTTATCCTATTTGTTGATTCACCACAATCTTAATAACGAGAAAAGGACACTAAAACAATAATTGAAAATAATTTGTTTGTAAACTTCATTATTTATATTTCATTCGCCCCAAAAAATCGCATAATTAATGCTTAATTTTAACTAATCAACACGGGATGTTTTAAATTTGTACTTTATTAACGTAACCGGACATTAATTTACTTTTAACATTTCCATTTTCATACTCGATGTTCGCCTCAGAAATAATTGTAAATAATTAAAATCGTGCATTTATTTGCGTAACAAGAAATTAGATTTTTAGATTTGGGAGGAGTTACATGACGCCTCCATGTGACACAAAAGAGAACTGTCGTAGCTGCTTAAATTTCTTGTTTTGTAGATAACCGACCGGAAGGCGTAAGTTTTCATGGAAGACCACGATTTTAACGAAGTAGGGAAACGTTATATAACAATTTTTTTGTTTACAAAAAATATAGTTATATTTTTTATTTATTAATGTCAAGAAAAACAAGCCATAAAATACAATTTATAGCTCTAAATAGCTGTGTAATGTAATTTTATAAAACAAGTGAAACTCTGAGTCAGAGTAACGTGAGATAGTGATACTGATTTACTACTACTAGTAGTATGGGGATTAATTACTAGATACAACATGTACTCATTTCTCGTAGGTACTCTAATTCAAAATTAAATGGAAGTATACTTTTTATTTTTAATTTATTAAAAGTTTTTGTTTAAGTTTACAAGTACAAAACAGCTGATCATCAGAAAGATTGAAATTGGATTATCTGTTGAGTACTCCTTGTTGTTAACTCGGATTAAAGTGTAAACTTTAATATTAAGGCCAAAAGTTACACATTTTGAAATTCTGTATCAGAAGCTTTCTATAGTATAATAAAATAGGCCTGGCATTGCCTGGTGGTTAGGGTGCTTAACTTGCAATCTGCAGGTCACAGGTTTGAATCCCTCACCAAATATACTTGCCATTTCAGCTGTGTGGGTGTTATATAGTGATGGTCAACCACACTCTTCATTGGTAAAAGAGTAGCTCAAGAGTTGTTGGTGAATGGTGTTGGCTATCTGCCTTCCCTCTCCATGCACCTTTGCCCAATATTCAACACAAAACAAACCAATCTATAATACAATTATTTCTCTGTAAGATTTACAAAATTACAGGATGGTTTGGCTGATGATTTGGCATGCACTGTTGTAACAACCTAAATCCATTTAAACATATTGAATAGGTACATAGATTATGAATGGCTATATTGAAATTACGATACAACAAAGTGTCTCTTAGCTCACTGTGCTGTCCCATTCATTTTATCGAACATCCATCTGGCTATATCTGGCCACAAATTTTTTAAGTATTCATCAAGTCTTCTTTTTGAACTCCCAGTCCTGTATGTCTACCACAGATGAAGAATATATGTTCCAAAGGGTGACTACCCTGTTCAAAATATAAAATTGCCTAATTTGCTGACATCTTATACCCTGCCAGATCTTAAATTATATCACTCATCAAACACAAAAAATATGATGCATTAGTCCTCTCTATTCCATTTATAATTTGGAACACTTAGGTAAATCTCCTATAACCCTTATTTTTTTCAAGAAAATCTAATTTTAAGGAAGTAAATTATCCTTATATTCCAAGCCATCCATTCCGTAAATTATCCTAGTAGCCTCCTTTGAATTTTTTCTAACAACTCAATATCCTTCTTAAGGTAAGGAAACCAGTAATTAGTACAATATTCCAAATGAGGTCTATCCAGAGATATCTATATAAAGAAACAATAACATCATTTGACCTGTACTCGGTATTCCTGTAAATATAAAGTCCTATTTGCTTTTCCATTGAAAACAGCACACTGCCTAAGAGACTGATTGACAATAACACCCAAAATTAGTTGCACTTGGTTTTATAAGGTATTTGGTAAGGATATTGATGCAGGGTTTGGTTTGTTGAAAGTACTGAAATTTCATTAATATATTAAGTGGTTTTGAGTCAGATCTATACATGTCCTTGCATTGTTGATCAGTGACATTAGTAGATTGCTAACCTCTAAACCTGCAACTCTGTTGAGTGAAAACTTTAATATAATTAATTAGAAAATCTCATTGATCTTTTTAATTTTCCAAAACTCGTCAATGTCGTTGAGCATGTAATTGTCACAGTTGATAGTATTTGCTATAAAAAAATCTTATTTTGCAGTGTTAGAATTTTGTGTTTGTATTAGTCTTGTATTGTTTCAGTGTTATTTTGTTGTTACATCCCAATGCAGGAACAAGGGATTTCATAATGTCCTTTTCATGGTTTCCTTTCATCTTTTAGTTTTGTGTGTACTAACATGAACCTGATTGTCCTGTAGGATTTACACCTGGCACCTATTTTTACCTCTGTTTAATTGCGAATACTGTGCCTGAAACATCTCTTAAACAAAGCTATATGTGTGTTTTGACCGTCAGTATTGTTGCCATATGATTTTCTATACTGTGCCAAAAGAGTCGCAAAAAAAATTTTAAATCATTTCACCAATAGACATTACTGAAAAAACAAACTCGTTACTCATTTCTTCAGGAAAAAAGTAATCATGTCCTTACATATTAGTTAATAAAAAAGTATCACATTATATTGCTAGTTATATTTATTTTTTTAGTGTTTTCCTGCAAAACAGTTGTGACTATTCATTACATTTTTTATGTATGTATCTGGAAATTAAATTGTTAAATGTATGTCAGTCTCATTGCACAGTGCACACACTTTCAATTAGTCATATAAAAACAAAACTAACACCTCGGTTCCAGTAAAGCCGATTTCTGAGATAGAAACTCATATTTCACACATCATTTAGATACTTTGTTTGCTTAGAATTTAGAAACTGAAAGTTACTTTGGATTAAAAAAGAGTAATAATATAGCTTACAACAGTGAGAAGGTAGTGAAACAAAAGTTGTTTTTTCAGAAAGTAACTGTAATATTATTACTCTAGTTAAAAAATCTAACAATTTATAATACGTCATTATTGACAAAAGTAATATTAAATAAACAAGTTACTTAACTAACACATTACTCCAAACTCTGCTAGTAATATATAGTTTATGTTGACAATAGCTCACAATAAACCATGAGATTATCTACTTAAATTGTTAACACAATTCCTAAAGAAACGGAGATTACTATGGAAGAAATAAAACACAGTGGGAAACCATTGTGTATTTTACTATTATCATTATAGATAGTGGTGCAGATAGGAAAAGTCCTCTGTATAAAACTACCTTGGATCTTGGTTATTCATGGAGATAAAAACCAACATAATTTTGCACACAAACAAACATCTTCAACAAAACATATAAAATACAAATAAATTATTAAAATTGCTGTATAGGAAAAAAAAAGAAGTGTGATTAACCTTTGTACTGTGTATTTTCAAATTTATGTTGCTACAGTTTCATAATGAAGAATAACTTGTTATACAAATTAAAAGCAGAAATCTGTACTCGCATGAGAATTCAAAAAGTAACAAAATCATTTAGACAGGGAACATTAGGAACTTTTACCTTTAATCCTTATGCAATGAGCTAGAAAGAATGAGAAGTAATAAAAAAAGTAAAGTGCTGAAATATTATTTGTGAAATAAATTATGTAGACTTTTGGTATGTCTATAATATATATATGGTACGTATTTGCATTCTGTTTAAAATGTTGGTAAATATAAGGATTGTTTGATAAAAAGTCCCTTTGTATATAGAGTAACATTCTTATAAACTTCCAACTGTGTTACAAATAATTATTAATATTGATTTAATCAGTTAACATGTAGTTGTAGTTTTTAATCTGCATAGAATTCCTTCAAAATTCTCCATGTTGATGGTTATTTTTCACACTTGTGTGAACATTATTCTCTAGTTAGTTCATTTACTAAAAATTTTTATACAATTAAATATTGATTAGATGTTGAAAAGACCTTGCAGAAGTTACATTATTTTTAACATTCAATTCATTTATCTGTGAATGTTTTTGATGATATTTAAAGTGAATGATACATCTAACAACATAATGGCTTCCTTTTTTTTTCGACAGGACACAATGTTTTCGAGTTTGAAATATTGGTTTCGACTAATAGCAGGAGGTCTTTGCTTGCCTTTTCTTTTTCCATGGCTAGTATATCAGCTGTACAATTCCCATTTCAGAAATAAAGTTCATCGTGATCAATCTTTACATGACAAAGTCGTGTTAATTACAGGAGCAAGTTCAGGTCTTGGAGAAGGTAACTTTAATAATAATAAAGATAAAAAATATCTTAGTTACTTCCTAAATTGTAAAACTTGCCTAGTTGGTGATGTCAGTGTTAATAATAATAATGCCCAGAAATAGTTTTGTTTATAGAGATGCTATTAGGTGTTAAAATATTGAGCTCAAGTTTTCAAGGTTGTATTTTACTAGTTTTTGAGCAAAGTCTTGTATTCTAATCATGTTCGTTACAAAGAAAAGCTCTAAGTGGTCAAAACAAAGAATTTTGTGATGTTACATCAATAACTCCGTTAGATTATATATTTCAGCTTGATACAAATAATTCCATTGAAGTTTTAATATATTACTATGTGGACTGTGCATGTCCTGTAGTGCTTCTTGATTAATTAGATTAATCGATTACCTATGAACATTAGTTACATCTATTAGTTTCATGTTAACTAACAGATTAAAAAAATTACAATTAAATCAATTAATGTCACAAAAATAAATAATCGACTAGCATTTCCAATTATTACTACTTTCGATTATTCCAGTTACAAAGTAATTGAAACCATGATTAAAGTGATTGCCATGAAAATAATAAACTAATTGAAACTAGTGTTTTCGATTATTCCAGCTGTCCGAGTAATTGAAATGATGTCACCATTAGGTTTGTTTGTTGAGGATGCATTATAAGAGTGACAGATAATCTGATTACTTGATTAAAGTAGCCTCAGAGTTGTACTTGTGTGCTGTTGATGAAATCCTTTCCCTCTAGTTTATTAGCTCAAAATTAGGAATGTCTAGAATAGATAGCTCTTGTTCGACTCTGTGCAGACAGATATAACTAATAACTTATAATACTGGTAGTCAAAGTTGAACAAACGCTGATTAGAAACATTGTCAAAAAAAGTTGCCTTGCATATTAGCATTTTATTTTTCAGGCATTGCCAAATAATGTGTTTATTAAAACAGCTTTCATTGAATTCTTTTGAGAGTATATTTGAAGAAATATATGCACGTGTGTTTATTTACATGTGTGTACATGTATAACATACTCAACACTTTATTGAACAAGCTGAATATTAGAAAACCAAAGTTCGTGTAGTTTTCCTAATGCCAATTGCTATTGAACAAACTGAGTATTAGAAAATTGACAAAATTTATATAATTTTTTCTAACACCAATGGATATTTATATCTTCAGACTGATGTAGCAAGATAAATCATTTAACTGTAATAAGGAATACTGTTGTCAAAGTTACACGTATAAATCTGTTGAATCCTTAAGGGGTTTGTTTTGTTACTGGATTGATATGGTCATTAAAACAAAATTATTGCCTCTCTGTAGAAATAACATTTTAACTTTATTTTTAGGCTTCTATTAACACAAGTTTGTAATTTCAAAGTTGTACCATGCTCTTATGCTTAAACAGAAGATTAATACATTTTAATTTACCTAAAGACAGTTGAAATTTGTCATGCAGATACGCACTGAATTTCTAATCACTTAAACAAATTGTTGCATTGAATTGATTAGGCATGGTTTTGATATACAAATAATCTAGCCTGTAGATGTTATAAGTTAGAAACTGTTTAATACAAGCAATGTTAGAGCTGGAAAACATCAGTTTTTCAGTTCAAAAAATGTGAGTTGGAACTTGTTAGTTTTAATAAGTAAGTCTCCTTGAATCCTGTTGTGAAAGAAAGTGGTTAGTGATTCTTGGCCAATTTGGCAAAAAATAATAAAAAAACATGAAGATCTTGATAAAAGGAGCTTGTTTGAAACTAAATTAATGTGTTTTTGGGTAAAAATGTAAAGCTCTTTGAAATTACTCCAACTTTTACAGTGAACATAAGTATGAAAGGTATTACACAAGTAATCATTTTTGTTGTTTGTTTTTTTTCAGCTCTTTGTCATGCATGTTTCAAAGCTGGTTGTAAAGTGATCCTAGCATCTAGACGTAAAGAAGAACTTGAGAGAGTAAAAAAGGACCTCATACACTCAAAGACGGTGTGTGTGCATTATCTCCTTTGCATGTCTTGTTTTTGTTTTATACTGTATGCTTGTGCTTCTACATAGGTAGATAATAGACTTCCAGTGAAATCTTGCTAAATCTTAGGCAATAATTGCTGTTTCCCACTGAAACACTTGAGGTCTAGAAACCCTCTTGATGGTTGAGATGTCTGTTTAAATGTAGAATATGATTTTATAAATGTGGTCAAACAAATGTTGGTTTGTTACTAAAGATGTTCAATACACATAACTATAATGCTTGGAGACGGCTTGAATGGGTAATGAAGAAAAACTTTAATATAAGTTTAACATAACAGCAAATGTACAACGTTTCGACAAGGTTTTGTCATCATTTG